GCTGAACCAGTTATCTACATATTCAGCACTGAGTCACAACTGCAGGACTTACTGTTCTGCACTGCCTACCACTGAAGAGTACAGACATAAGAGTTGCAATATGCAGTCCTCAATTTAATTGATAGCAATTTACAAAGCCCTTATCCCTGCTTTCATAAACTTCACCACATCAGAAAAGCCACACAAAATTTCAAAGTAAAGATGTTTATGATTTAAGCAAAAACCATTTTGAAGTCAATTTAGGAATTTAGTTTCATGGAGAAATAGTGGTTTGACCTATCTAGATTCCCTCTTATTTCCTCTCTTATCACCTGACATTCATTTCTCTACTTCACCCACCCCCTCTACAAAGATCTTCAAAAATTTTCCATTGTGAGCAGCATTCACTAATCAGCCCTACATTTTTACTGAAATTCATTTGTGAGACAGTTCTGAGTATATTACTTATTTCAAATATTCATCCTGTATTTTATGAGAATGTTCTATAATCTACTCCTTGTCCTCTATTTTTCATTCACAGGGTGCGGCAGTTCTGCAAAATAGTATGGTGATCTTTCTGCCTTCTGACTGCACAGGTCTTTCAAAAAACCAGTTAATAGTAATAATGAAAACTTCTAAAAGAAAATTACAGATGTGATAAGCACGTAATAAAGCTGGTGGAACACTACTATGTGTTTTCATACATATCTAGTAACTGCCTAAATGCTCTCTAGCATTGTACATTAGGTCTCTACAAGTAATGGAATAGAAACGTTACAACTTTACTCATAAAAATATTTTCGAGTTATCATTATGTAGTTCAATGAGTACTTCTCAGTCATCTCGTGACAAAATAGTTCCTTGTCTTTTTAGTTTACATTCACCTTACTGACACACTTGCTTTTGCATCTGCACTCAAGTTGTGAATAGTTATGAAGTGTTAACTGTATCGCTGTCAGGTTCTCCAAAACCGCTTTGCTTCTAGACAGGTAATAGATCATTTGTCATCATTTAAAAGTAACCCCGTGAACAAAAACAGAAGAATACCTCTCTACCTCAAGTTCTTCAGCGGAAGTTTCTCTTTTAACTTGTACATCCCATTGTAAGGAATTATCCAGTATTCACTATTGCCTTCCACTTTATCTCCTTGACTCTTCCAATGCAGATAAAATAGGACTTGGGTCTTTACAGTATCTGTTTTGAAGATGAGCCTACAAAACACTGATAATTCCCTTTTTTTTCAAAAAGATTGTTACAGAAAAAAGGGCACCTGAGATTTCAACTATAAAATTTCCCTCTGCTTGTGGATAATGTTTGGTGCTGAGACTTTGAAAGACAGTATTTCTTTTCTTACAGATTTCTCTGATTTCAAACTCCATAGTGCCATCCCATTTCTGACACCAAGCAAAACCTGCAAAGCTGAAAAAATGTACCTATGCAGACATACACACACATGTATATACACG